GCCCCAACCTTTGCTGCCTCTAGGACTGAAAAATGTTGCCTCTTAGCTGCTGGAAAGCCACTCCTATCTGCTGGAATGGAGTAGTGGTGGTGGTGCTTGGTAGTGATGAAGGAATGATGCAAGGGACTTGGATGCTTGAGCTTGAAAGAGAGAGATGGAGGGAGATATATGGAGGGATGTATATATCAATCCCAGCTGGTTTTTCTAACCTAGTATAAGGAAGAAGAGAGCTTCCTTTATAGAGCCAAGGGAGTAAGACTTCTCTTAGAAGCTTCAAAACCAAGAGCCAAGATCCTCCATACAGTGTATGGAGGATCCAGTCTGTGCCCTCCAGCTGGCACAGCTGGCATCCATTCAATCTGTAGAATACTCCGGAAGGTCGTCGGCTAGAAAAATTGGTCGGTCGGCTTCTTTAACCTGCCGGTCGGCAATCTATTTGGCCGGTCGGCCATCTGTTCTGGCCGGTCGGCCATCTATTTGGCCGGTCGGCATAATGTTTGGCCGGCCGGCAAGAAAAATCTGCTCTGCAGGTCCAACTTCAAACGGGCATAACTTCTTCATATGAACTCATTTTCAGGTCAATCTTGTGTCCAAATTGAAGCCCCGGAAGTAAGCTTTCCAATGGAACCAGCCGTGCATCAAAATTATGAATGTGAAAAAAGTTATGCTTGTTTTGGTGAAGGCTGCTCAGTTTCGGTCCAACCAGGATGATGCCCAACTTCAACCAATCATATCTCCCCCCTCCGGTCTCGGATTTAAGAGATTCTTGAGTGAAAAATGAAGCCCCGGAAGTCTTCTTTCCAACGGTGGTGACCTTATAACTAAACTCCAAGTGTACAGATAGATAAGCCTGATTCAGCGAGGGCTGCTCGACTCGCTTCTACCCGGATTCATGCCGAACTTCTCCCAAACTGGTTTTCTCCTCTCCTTTCCTCTCTTCTCCAACTCCAAACCCCTAAACAAAGTGCTTTGAAGGATTTGCCTCTCTCCTTGCCGAAGAAACTGAACATTTGCCTTGCACACCTTTCTCTGCCAAGCAAAACATCAGTGGTGCCCAAGTCTTAAGGGCGGTCAAAAATGGGGTGTCTACACCTATCTTCCCCTAAACCATGGAGTACATCCCCTATCTCCTCCCACACAGACAATGTATATACACAGAGGTCATATACACAATCAATCAATACATAATGTTAATGTATTCTATCAACCGTCATACTCTATGACATAACCAATTGATTAGTTTTAGTTTGCCTAATCATCATGCATTATCTACCACAATTAAAACTACCCTCCACCGGTAGCCCAAGCAATTATTTCTAAACAGATAATAAAAGCTTCAACAGATAAAATATCAATGTTTTCAAAAGTGAGCGATTAACAAATCCAACTCCATTATTCTACCACATAATGAGTCAATTTCATTATTTCCAACTCAATTCCAAATACCAACACTTTTCCCAAATTAATTATACCAATTAATTTATACAAGAAATTAGGGCTTTCTCCCCCATTTTTCAATATTGACTCAATGGTCCATATATCAACAACCAACATCAATACCACTATTTTGAAACCCAAAATACTCATTTTAGAATCAAAATAATAAAATCCTCTTTTGACATTTTGAAACCCTAAGTCCCAAAATTACCCGCCTTCAACACTTTATCAAAATCACCAAAAAATCTATGTTAAAAACCGTAAGAGTGAGTAGGAATCCCTATCTCAAAAGTTGACACCCAACGAAGAAAATGAAAATGCACCAAATCCCTAGATTCTTGGATCAAAAGATAGCCCTCGACGATCAACAACTTTTTTGTAAAGGCCAAAGATGAGGAAACAACTCCTACTAGATCAATACCTAGAGAGAAGGCAAGGTTCTAGAGAGAGAGGTTCAACAATGGAGTTTTGGAAAAGTAAGAGAGAGAAAAGAGTGTGAAAAAGTGATCCAAAAAGTCGGATCTCGATTTTAAATAAAAGTGGCCCCGCTCGAGCGTGGAAACCCCCACTCGAGCATCACTCACAGACTCCCGCTCGAGCGTCAATAATCCCGCTCGAGCGGCGGATACACACTTCCAGAACTTTTTACAGAACCAGGTCTCCGCTCGAGCGTCAACTCTCCCGCTCGAGCGTCACACACAACATCCCGCTCGAGCGTCAAAACTCCCGCTCGAGTGTACAACACTGCAGGGGAGATATTGGAAGATGGAAAAATACGCTCGAGCGCTGAAACCCCCGCTCGAGCGGACAAACAACAACGAAGGGCCCGTTCGAGCGCCAAAATCCCCGCTCGAGCGTGAAGGCCAAAATCTGGGCAACTACTCTTGGTTTCCAGGTTCAACCAACCTGTTTCAAACCTGCCCAACACAACCCGAGACTCGAATACAAGGAGTAAAGGATGTAAACAAGACATATACAACAACTAACTCCACGGAATCTAAGTCCGAACACAATGATTAAAGGAAGGGAAACCGGGATCGCTATATGTAAACATTCACATTACTATTCAGTAATGTACAAAAACACATTAGTAGACGCTGGTGTAAACATTCACATCAGTGTAGATTGATGTGATGTTAGCACCAAAACAAATGTTGGACATTCACATCACTGATGTGAATGTTCACATTACTGGGCAATGGTGTGAAAGTTGACATTAGTGATGTAAACATTCACATTACTGTTCAGTAATGTACAAACACACATTAGTAGACACTGGTGTAAACATTCACATTAGTGTAAATTGATGTGATGGTAGCACCAAAACAAATTTGGAACATTCACATTACTGATGTGAACATTTACATTACTAGGCAATGGTGTGGAAGTTGACATCAATAATGTGAACATTCACATTACTGTTCAGTAATGTATAAACACCCATTATTAGCTACTGGTGTAAACATTCACATCAGTGTTAATTGATGTGAACATTCACATTACTGGCCACTGGTGTAAACATTCACATCAGTGTTAATTGATGTGAACATTCACATTACTGATATTTGTTATTTGTTTCAGTACTGGTTGTGTGAGCATACAACAATCTTACAACCCCGCAACCCCAATTCCATTCCGCGATGTGTAAAGTGGGACCTCACAGCCTTACATAGCAACATGAAGTCCATATCTTTGGCTAAGCTTGGTTTAAATGAGGTAGAAGTACAACCAAAAATATTGTGCCCATTCATATAGTGAGACAAGGAACTATATAACTAACATAATGTCTCCAACTGCAGGTATATGGCAACGAGTATATGGCATCCCCAACTGAAGCGAAGATGTACCATCATACAAAATTGAATGTGGAGCCCAAACTTGAGATTTTGTCAAGTGCACCAGCAAAGAAAGATGAAAGCAATGATGTTGAAAGCAAAGACAATCAACGCAGTGACGACATGGATGGATTTTCTGTCGATGCAATGGACTTGAATGATGTTGGACATGATATTAACCCCAGCTTTAACACCCCCAATGCTAAGAGAGGTATCATCATAGCACAACCAACTGAGCCGGACATTGTGGATGTACTTATAAAAGAAAACCAAAAAGCTTGGGGTCTTGTACGACAATGGGAAGCGAAATACAAACAGCTGGAAGAATCATGGGAGTTGAGGGCAAGGGTGATTGCTGCCCTTAAAGCCAAACTATTTGACCAATCGGGCCCATCCAATATGGACATGGACATGAAGAATTGCATGGAGTGGAAAGATACAGAAAACCAGCGGCTAACAAAGTTGGTCATCAACTTGGAATGTGAAAAAACAATTCTTCAAGACCTTTTTGATGGTCAGTCTGTCCACATTATCACTCAAGTTGAAGCACAAAAGGCTCATGACAGCCTTAAGAAGCATCCCACTGCAGCATTGGAACACATTATCAGCCCACCATCGAGGGAAAAGCGCATAAAGCAGAAGGTAAGGAAAGAGCACCGGTTGGATGAGTTTGAATACCCCAACTTGCCTGGTCAAAAGAAAGGGAAAAAGGGAGCCGAAGAGCAATCCCATGCAGTCCAAATTGCACAAGATTTAGACAAACATCCACAAAAAAAGCAGCCAACAAAGTACAAGAAGTTAACCTTGAACAACAAACTGAAGGTTTGGGCCAACATGAGCAAACTCAACAAGCAGAAGGTCTAAAATTTGCACAAGAACGGCGGTGATGAGTAAGTGGTCTTACATATCCCCAATTGAATTATTTTTTTTTGCTTATGTTCAGTTCACATACATACTTAATAAATTAGATCATTTCATAAATGTGCAATGTTGACATTAACGTTTTCTGTAATCATAATGCACAGGTTGCTAGTGTGGCGAGGGGACCCAAAGACTAAAGATGTGTATTTTGATGACATCATACACATCATCAAGGAAGAATCAATAACCAACAACGTATGGCAACTGTAAATGTGTACAAAACACACACACACACACACACACACACACACTGTAAAGACACTGCAAATAATGTACTGCCACCCCTCTATTTCTGCAGGTGATAGATGCATATGGTGAAATTCTACTTGAACTACAAGGGCTAGTCAACCCAAGTTTGGAGGATTCAGCATTCATCTTTACAAGCACATGTTTGGTAACCACTAGACTTTTGCTTTGTTTATGTTTCAATAGATATGAATGTTCATCTCAGCATTATATGCTTATATTGTTAACTTAAATGATAGGCAGATGTGAATGTTAACAACAACATAAAATGACAGATGAGAAGATTCACATTGACAGATGAGAAGATTCACATTGACAGATGTGAACATTAACATCATTCACAGTGAACATTATATGCTTATTATGTTATTAACTTAAATGATACACAGATGTGAATGTTAATAACAACATAATATAATAGGTGTGAACATTCACATCTGTAATACATTGCACGACTGTTTCACAAATTAATAGATGTAAACATTCACATCATTCACATCACTAATCATTAACTGATGTGAACATTCACATCATTCACATCACTCACCATTAGCAGATGTGAACATTCACATCGAACATTGATATAAATACTTTGTACATCATTGTATGCCCTTTGTGTACAGAAAATCATGCAAGAGTACCCCCCTACAAGAGAAATAAACTAATTGATGTACACATCAAGGAGTATCAAGTTCAGAGATTCTTAATCTTCCCAATACACGACAACTTCCACTGGACAATTGTTGTGTACGACGTGAAAGAGAATGTATGGAGGCATTATAACTCGCTGTGCCCAAGAGAAGGCATACATGGCCCACATATTGACAAAGCACAAATAGTGGTAAGTGGCTGACACATATAATACTTGTCATGATGTGTAATATTTGAACTTGGACGTATGCACTATGTTGGTTGGTGCCTAATATGAAATTTCATTGTTGGCAGAGGGACTACATCGAGGCTTTGGTGCACAACATTGGACCATCATCACCATTATGGACCAAATTATCAAGCCAAAATACTTCACAACCAATCCTATCAGTAGATATCTATCCTCAACAAGCATCAGATTCATAAGCCTAAAATCGATTTATACACATGTTCCACAACCATTACCCACCTGAATTTCAAAATCTAACAAGAAGTTTGCATTTTCAGGGTGGATTGCGGGCCTGCAGTTTGTTACATCATGAGGGCGCATGTATACCGTGAAGACATTGTTGCCAGCCTAGATCGCTTTGAATTGTGTCAAATAAGAGACTCATTAGTACACCTTTTTTTGAACCACAGAAAGACAGTGCAATGTGAAAACCTATAGGTGGGGGTTGTCCACCTATCACTGTTACCCAAATCTGTTATCCACATTTAAGACAATTTAGTGTCAATAGATTTTACATATTGGAGCAAACTAGCTTAATTGTAAATCAAGTCTATATCACTGCTTATACAGATATTTTTCATTCAATATATGTATATGCATTTTCAAGCCTTTTTTGCGTTGGTCATGCACATTGAGATTGTATTTTTTTTTTTTGGACATGATGTGAATGTTCACATCACAGAATGATCATACACTTTCTTATGTTTTAAACCATACTACATGGATGTGAATATTGCTTAAAGTGTTCATGTAATACAATATGACAGGTGTGAATATGATATTTCTTAACACAAGTCAATATTCACATCTAATAATTTGATGATGTGAATATTCATCTCATAACTTCTGATTATTTGAATGGCAGCAACGATGTCATGAATATTCATATCTTATGAGTTGATGATGTGAATGGTTACATTGATGTAAACGTTCATGTCATCTACTTTGATGCTGTTAACAGTAACAAGAATGTGAACATTCACACCACAAAAATGTTTAAAAGTTCAACTCATGTGCAATTATTCACATAATGTGATTATATTACACAAGTGTGAATGTTAAAATCATGCATTCATCCAAAACACAACAACATAAGTGTCAGATTGGTACCTTAAAAAATTAAAAATAAAACACAAATCAAATACTAATGCATTATTATGTTTGCCAACGCAACGTAATCTTATTGCAACACAATGTTTGCCAACACAACACAATCTTATTTCAAAAATGACTATAAGAATCCAATGTAAAACACAATGTTGAAATGAAAAATATACATCCTATATCGGCTCTGTGCATGATTTCCGATTATGGCTCCCCAACTTATCACATCTCCCGCACCTTATTTGCTTCAGTTTCTCACCCTTTGATGGGATCCTATTCTTTTTCGGCTTTTCGGGTGGTCTTGTCACAGTTGGCGGGTATATAGTGAAGTCCATGGGATCAAAAGGCAGCTTCTCCACCGATGGTATAGGGAATATGGCACCCGAATAGGCTGCACGATATGTCTCTACGTTCCACACAATCATTGAGATTGTAGCGGCTCTTCTGAATAGCAATAACAGCATGGTCACATGGGAATCTGTTGATTTTCCATTTGAAGCAAGAACATGTATGCCTCGCAACATCAACTGTAACAGATGGTATCAAATGAACTTCAAACACATCCTCCTTGGCTTTGCTAACTTGCCAAGACCTGTTGTCATTGAACGAATTCATAAGCCTTGTTTCGAATGTAGAAAAAATAAGCTCATTCCATTTGTTTGCTTGGTCACGCCATGCAGACATTTGCTGCATCAACTGAGTACGAATTGTGTCCACCATTTGAGTGATAGGAAGATTACGTGCTTCTTTAATCCAGTTATTAAATGACTCCGCCGCATTGGATGTCATCTCCCCATAACGCATGCCCCTGCACAATATCACAAACATTGTACAATACAGAATTTAACAGGTCTAAACATTCACGTTGGCAGATGTGAACATTAACATCATTCGCAGTGAACATTATATGCTTATTATGTTGTCAACTTAAATGATAGACATATGTGAATGTTAACAACAACAAAATATGACAGGTGTCAACATTCAAATCTATAATACATTGCATGACTGTTTGACAAATTAACAGATATGAACATTCACATCAGTCATCATTAGCAGATGTGAACATTCACATCATTTGCATTGAACATGAAGCCCAATTGGAAGATTGTTACCATTTTAAACTGAAAATTCACATCGCTACCATTCTAAACTTGACAAATGGAACACCTTAGGAAGCTATTATTACCTGAAGTATGAATTTGCCCAGTGCTTAGGTGCCAAGTCCTTGAAAAAATTATGAGCTCGTTGTTTACCCTCCTCTTTTAATTTTGCAAGCTTTTCATGGAACCCTACCACAGTTGGCTCGTAAGCACAGTCACCCAAACTACTTACTAGGTGATCCCTGAATCCATTATCAATTCTTTTCATGCGGTCTCTTAAATTGCTCTTCAAGTGTTGTAAGCAATAACCGTGATGAGCCGATGGGAACACCTTTGGCATAGCTTCTAGCAGACCAAGATTACGATCCGAAATAAAAGTAATCTGGCGCTTACCATCAACAACCTTCTCAAGTTCGTGCAAGAACCACGACCAATTGGCCGTGGTCTCTGAATCAACAATCGCAAATGCAACAGGAAACAGACCTACAACACAACACCAATACACAACTATTCACAATATTCCAAAGTGAATAGAAAACAGTAAAGATGAAATAGGTCATGTGAATGTTTATAACTACATTGCCCTATTACTATTGTTATTTTTGGATTCGGGTTCATAAACATCAACGATGTGAACATTCATATTAACGACCATTAATAATTCATTGTTGATTGTTGAGTCATTAATAATGTGAACATTCACAGTACTGTTCATTAATGGATCAGCTGACATTAGTATACATTGATGTGAACATTCACATCAGTGTATAATAATGTGAATGTTCACATTATTGTCATTAGTAGACACAGATGTGGACATTCACATCAGTGCATACTAATGTCAATGTTCACACTACTTATAATTTCTCAATCACTCATTTGTCCAGAGTATGCTGCTCAGAGTGAATATTGACATGAATAGACAGCTAAAAAAAATACTAACCATTGTTTCCGTCTTTCACCATTGCCGTAAGTAGCTGACCTTTGTACTTTCCTTTGAGGAATGTTCCATCCAGGAATAATAAAGGCCGACAAGAATTGAACCCAGAAATACACGCAGCAAATGACACAAAGAAACGACAAAACTGTTGACTACTCGCATCATAGTCAATATTGACATAACTCCCTGGATTGTACCGCATCACAGCATCCGAATACCACCGCAGCTGGTCAAACGATAATGAGTGATCTCCGTGAATACCAGCATTTGCTTTCTCCGCACCCAACCATACGACATGGTAACTCATATCTAGCCCATAATCTCTCTTCAAAATAGTCACCACCTCACACGGCCGAGTCAACATCTTGTCCCTCACAATTTCAGATATGGTACTCGACACCAAATCCGAACTAACTCGCGGATTCTTCGATGTTCGGACATCTGTACCATAACTATGCACATCACTAAACCTCTTGATGTAGAAAAAACCATTTGCTCGTTGTGCTCTACAATGTATAGTCCACAAGCAGCCTCTCTCCTCACGCATCGCACACACAACAATAACTCTTGTTGTCTCATTCTTGACATACGTAAACTGAAACTCGCATTGGATGACATACTTACATAAACATCATGAAATTCTTGTGCACCTCCAATAAACAGTTGTCCCACATGTGTAATACCATTTGCCCAAGGGGTTGACAACAACACCTTCTCCTTATGGTGGCAAAATCTCCGTAGTGCATCAATATCTTTCTCAACCCCCACACGCAGCGATCCCGAGCTACTTGACTGACCAATATCACTTTTCAACTCAACCACAACTTCTACATGTTGTATCCCTATTGATTTAGCAAGCAGTAACATGTTCTGAAATTCTTCCTCATTGTCCAAATCACACCTATTAATCCCAGGTAACCGACAGAACAATGAAATAGAACCAGCAGACAACTCCCCTTGTAACGCCCTCAAAATAATACATAAAACCCATCTCTTTTGACATGCATTGATATAAAAGAAACCAACCATTTCATTTCATCAGAGTAAACTTTACAACGGTATTACATGTTAACAACAAAAGCAAATGCCCTATGGGCTTACAGCTTTCCAAGTCAACACTTGGTTACACAAAAGTAGAGTACTA